CTGGTGGTTCGGGTTCGCTCGATAGCTGAGCAGCAGGGGCACAACAAGCGTGTGACACTTCTCTGATGCTTCTCCCAAGAGCGTGTCACTCATCTCTGCCCGGGCCTCCAGAAGCAGCTTGGCAACGTAGTCGTTGCCTTGACTGCATGCCAGAGCAAGGGGCCGGCTTCTTGAACGGCTGGATTCGTGGCTTATGTCGGCTCCGGCCTCCAGCAAAAGCCGGACCATCTCATGGTGCCCTGCACGAGAAGCCAAGCCGAGGGGTGTGTGGCCATGGGATCCAAACTTCTGCTCCATGTCTGCCCGGCCCTGCAACAGAAGGGTGGCTATGCCCATGTGGCAGATCCCTACGGCTAATCCAAGCGGCGTGTCGCTGTTGGGTCCAAATGTCCTGTTCGCATCTGCGCGGGCCTCCAGCAAGAACCGCACCATGTGCACATGGCCAAAGGCTCTGCGTCCTTGCCGGCCAAATGCTGCAGCAAGAGGCGGGGGAGACAACCCACATGTGCCCTCCATGTCGGCACGTGCTTGAAGCAGAAAACGTGCCACCGGGACATGGCCCGCATGAGAAGCTGTTGCCAGCGGCCTTCGCTGATACTTTCCAGAACTCTTCTCTAGTTCGGCCCTGGAATCCAAGAGCAGGCGTGCAACTTCCAGGCAGCCGGCTTCACAGGCCAATCCAAGTGGGGTTACTCCGTGAGTCAAATCTGCTCCCCCCATTCCACTCGTCTTATCTGGATCAGCGCTTGCTTCCAGCAGCAGCTCGGCAATCTCATCATGACCCGCGCGCGAGGCGAGGGCAAGGGGCGTGTGCGGTGTGGGCTGCGGAGGCGGCGTGTGGTCCTCAAGCGCAATCAAGTCAGGATCCTGACCTTTCTGTAGCATGTCCTCGACCTGGTCCAGGTCGCCACTCTCAGCTGCAGCTTTTAGCTCCTCGATTTCAAGTTGTGACACGCTGGAGAAGGGCAGAGCTACATGCTGAAGGTGCATCGGCGATGGCAAGCTGACGTGGTCATCCAGGCAGGTGCCGTTGCAAAGAAGCCTCTGCCTGAATCGCGGCAGCCCACAGAGGCTCTGGAGATGTTGCTTCAAGGTTCGCACGTCTGACACATCCTCAATCGGAACCACCGCTAAGGCTTGCCCGGAGAACTGCCAAACATGCAGCATCTGGACGAGAAGCAGAAGCGAACAAGCGACAACCACGTCTAAGAATCATTGAGAGCCATTCTTTCAACCTGCGCAACGGCTACAAACTTGCCTTGTCAACTCGCCTTGCTGCATCTTGCGATTAGAAACCAGGAATATATTATCGAAACAGATGTCTGTGTATATATACATAGACATATACATATACGTGGTGTAAGCTTTTCATGAAGACATCAGCAACCACACTCTGGTCAAAGCCCAGGATTTCAGAAGGCGAGGGGGTTTGAAGCTCGAGGCTTTTGGCGGGGCTGCCGGGGTTTCGGGGGGTTTGCGTGAGGTTGCTTGGGGCTGAGGGTTTGTGATGGAACTGTGCATGTGCAGGGCTTTTCGGTGCGTCTGTTTAGACTTGCCATGTGCCGTATGGCGTAGCCAGGTTCTCGGCGAGATGGGGGGTCACTGCCTAGGACATGCCTGATGCCCAGAAAGTCACGCCCGAGGGATGCTTCCGGGGTTTCAGATGGTTCTAGATGAACTGTGGTCTCAGGGTTTCAACACGCCCTAAACCCCAAACACGCCCTAAACCCTAAACCCTAGACCCTAGACCCTAAACCCTAGACCCTAGACCCAGACCCTAAACCCTAAACCCTAAACCCTAGACCCTAAACCCTAAACCCTCAACCCTAAACCCCAAACCCTAAACCCCACCAGCTTTTGAATGGCGCCGAGTGGCATCCCCTGCCTCGAAGGGCGGGAGGCAGTTGCCAGGATTGAGGTCTCCCACAATGGTCCTTCAGGGTTCAGGGTTCAGGGTTGAGGGTTTAGGTTTTAGGGTTTAGGGTTTAGGGTTTAGGGTTTAGGGTCTAGGGTTTAGGGTTTAGGGTTTAGGGTTGAGGGTTTAGGGTTTAGGGTTTAGGGCTGAGGGTTGAGGGCTTAGGGCTGAGGGCTTAGGGTTGAGGGCTCAGGGTTGAGGGTTGAGGGTTGAGGGCTGAGGGTTTAAGGTCCTGTCAAACGATCTGTTTCAGGGTTTAGGGTTTAGGGTTTGGGGTTTAGGGTTTGGGGTTTGGGGCTTAGGGTTTAGGACTTTGTGTTTGGGGTTCGGGGTTTGCAGTTTTGGTTGACTCCGGCTAAATTGCCCTGGATGGAAGAGAAAACTGGGAAAGCTAAGAGCATGCTGGTCACAGAAACTTGACTAGCTAGATGTATGATCGAAAAGCTTGCATCTGCTTTGGCACTGTCAAGCGAATGTCTACTTGTTATGCTGTTTCTCAAGTTTCTGAACCCTGCTGGTGATCCCCCTTCCGAGGAATGCTTTCTGACTCGCCGCCGTTGCACATGAACCAGGCGGCCCAGCTTGCTTGTCCTTTTGCCTGTCCCTCTGGCACATGCACCCAGTAGTAAGAGCTTTTGGATCATCCTCCAAGTTTCTCGAAACCCCTCATTAGGGTCTAGGGTTTCGATTAGGGTTTAAAGCTCAGGGTTTCATGGGGGCGGGGCTCTTTTGCCTCTTGGGTCCCAAAGCCAGCTCACTTCCGGCTGTCCTGACACTGCCGTTGACCAGGTTTGCTTCACGAACCTGCCCGATGCGACCCTGATAGGCTAGTCAAGGATCCACACTTTGCTGGAGCTGTGCGAAGAAGCCACTGAGACCGCTGAATCAGGCTTTCCCCCTAGGCCTGCAAAGCTGTCTTGCACGTGGTACGTGTCGAGGTACATGCTGAACATGTGCAGCCCTACTTGGAGGTTCAGGGCACTTAGTAACCCATTATCAGTGCACTTATAACCCACATATAAGCCCCTTAAGTACCCCAATAAGGTTGCAATTGGGTTATAAGTACAACTATAATGATTGTATTGGGGTTACCAAGTACCATGAACCTCCAAGTAAGCAGAAGTTTCTACAGGCATGCGCAGCCCTAAACCCTAAACCCTAAACCCTAAGCCCCAAACACTAAACCCTAACCCCTAAGCCCTAGTCCCCAAACAGGGCAGCCGGCCCGGTGCGGCTCCGAGAAGTAAATCGTCTCCCCGTCATCGCTCAAAGCCAGGCCCCAGATGGCGCCGATGCGGCTGTCTCAAGAAGGTTTAGGGTTTAGGTCTTAGGAATTTGGGGTTCAGAGGGTTTAGGGTTTAGGGAGGGTTTAGGGTTTAGGGTTTAGAGGGTTAGGGCTTAGGGTTTAGGGTTTAGAGGTTTATAGGGCTTAGGAATTTGGGGTTTAGAGGTTCAGGGTTTAGGATTTGGAGGTTTGGAGGTTTAGGGTTTAGGATTTGGGGTTTAGTGGTTTCAGGTTCAGGATCTTACGGCAATATACCAATATCGCTATACAATATTGTCATTAGAATAGTAATAAGACGAACGAATAGGAAATCAAAGTAAACATACGAATAACAACATACACACAATCAAATGAAGTAGGGTATATATTTGTTGTACCCCCAAAAGGACACCAGGTATATACACTCACGAATATTAAAAAGGAACCTTATATACACTCACCAAAAACAGAAATATATACCCTGCCTAAACCTAAACCCTAAACCCTAAACCCTAAACCCTACACCCTAAACCCTAAACCCTGCTTCATATGATGCCCTCTGAAGGCCCTGAACTCTCAGGGCCCGGCTGTAGAAGTCCTGCAAGGTGGCAATGGATTTTAGTGCATCCGCAAGCTGGTGTTCACTGTCAACTCTAGGGTTTAGGGTTGGTTTAGGGTTTAGGGTTTCGGGTTTAGGGCTTAGGGTTTAGGGTTTGCTGTGATAGGGCGTAGATGCTGTGAAGGTTAGGTTTAGGATCGAAAGCTTCGTGAGGTGCCGAAGAGCAGCTTTGGCCCGATTGTGGAGGGCCATCTAACACTTTTCTCCCACCCCACGCCGTCCAAGGCGGCAAAGCCACCCAAACCTATTCCTTCTAGGGTTTAGGCCTAAAATCAGACAACAGTCCACTTTTCAACACTTATTTAGTTTCATGATTTTGGTTGAATCGGAGAGTCAAGGGTGCCAGCAAGGCGGGGCCGGCGGGTTCCAGCGATGCAGGGCCGGGCCAGGGGGGCCAGGAGGGGGCCCAAAGGGGCCAGGGCGCCACGACGTCAGAAAAACTGATTTTTGAGCACCCAAATCCTTGGCAACGCTGCGGTGAGGGCTCCGGGACCCCCTTGGCTGGGGGCCCTGGGGGTACCCCCCTGGAATGACAGCAGGGTTTAGGGCATTTACTTTTTTTCAGGGACCAGTACTGGTCCCGGGAGAACGTGTCAGTACCAAACCCCATCGTGGGCGCTACCGACCCCCATGCTGTGGGAGGCGGGCGAGCGACCTGGGTCGGCTTGTGCCATCGAGGTCAAAGGGCTGAAGCGCCGCCCGCTAATGTAGGGGGGCGGCCTAGGCCCTGAGTTTAGGGTTTAGGGTTTAGGGCTTAAGTGGGCTCTCTGGCCATGGCCTGCCAGATGCCGCCTAAGTCGGCCACGGGCGCTTTCCCGTCGCCAGCGACGGTGCGCATCTCCCCTGCCCAGGGCTTTTGTGATGCTTGGAGGCCCTGCAAGGGATTTCCGAGAGTTTGTTCCAGACTCCAGCCTGTGATGACAGCGAACCCAACGATGAATGTGAAGTCCTCAGCGGTTTTGGTCCACTTGCCCTGTTCCGGTCACACTTGATCTTGCCCCACGCCCCACTCGTCTAGACCACAGGCTGGTCTTTGACTTGCCCCACGTGCCCCACTCAGACTAAGCGACCTGAGGCAGACGCAATGCCCTGATCGCAGCTGAACATTCCGCTGCACCAACAAACCTGCTGCAGAAACGTGCCCAGAGATCCGTTCTGGGGCAAATGGACATGAAATGAGACATGCCCAGCAACACCACACATGATCTCTAGCCAGCTGGCCATTCCAGGCAATGCCCATGCAAGCCACTTCTTTCGATCTGTGGGGTATGTATCGTCTTCGATTCCGTGGCGAACGAGCAGCGGGTTGTTCCCCATGGCATCGCTTTCTTTCTTTCTTGTCTGTAACAAGTCTGGCAGGATATCCTTCCGTTGAGGCAGGCTTGTTGTGATTGGACCTGTGGACGCTTCCAAAAGGCATTCGTGCATGTTTTGGGGGGAAGGGAGGGGAAGTACTTTGACAAAAACGTCCAAGCGCACTCAACGCAGCAGAATGATCCATGCTTGGGACAGTGCACATTGCACTCGAAGTCAGAAAACCCTAAACCCTAAGGCACCTTGTAGAAGCCCATCGTCAGAAACTCGATGCCTGCGCGGCAGGTCTTCAGAGCAAGCTCCCGTATCTTCGCGCACGCCTCTTTAGAAGCACAGGGCATCTTCTACTTGCGGCCTTCCCAGACTTCGTTCTCGTTGTCCTGGAGCGCTAGAAACGGCGGAAGTTGGCGACATATTCTGGCAAGTTCCCATACCCCCAGATGCGATCTGCAATGTTCTAGGAACCAAACCCTAAACCTTAAGCCCGACACCCCGGTTGCCCAGAAGTTGACCCTACACCCTACGCCCCAAACCCTAAGGCCCAAACCCCAAACCCAAATCCCTAAACCCGAAACCCCAAACCCTAAAACCCCACACCCCAAACCCCAAACCCTAAACCCCAAACCCGAAACCCCAAACCCGAATCCCTCAACCCCAAAACCCTAAACCCTAAACCCCAAACCCTAAACCCTAAACCCTAAACCCTAAACCCTAAAACCCTGCGTCTCACAAGGAAACGTCTCCTCGACGACCGGAGCGCCGTAGGGCTTCGTTCGCTCGACGAGCTTAGAGTCCATGTCGAAGGCTGCAGCCCTTAGGGTTTGAGGGTTTAGGGTTTAGGGTTTAGGGTTTAGGGTTTAGGGTTTGGGGTTTAGGGTTTAGGGTTTAGGGTTTAGGGTTTAGGGTTTAGGGTTTACGGTTTAGGGGTTTAGGGTTTAGGGTTTAGGGTTTAGGGGTTTAGGGTTTAGGGTTTGGGGTTGAGGGTTTAGGGTTTAGGGTTTAGGGTTTGAGGGTTTAGGGGTTTAGGGTTTAGGGTGTTTAGGGTTTAGGGTTTG